AGGCCTAGTGCCCGGAAACAGACACAAAGAAACATACATGGATGACAGCATGGAAGCAGTATTCCTTTATCTGCTTGTTAGTACGTATTAGTTTCCCCATGATCAAATACAGGGCAGAAGCAACTTAAAGGAGGAAGGATTTATGTAGTTCAACATGGCAGGGAGGTAGATCAGAATTCATGGCAGTGGATTCCTTCCATCTTGGTGGACCCTGCACAGGGCTGGGTTTTAACCCCAAACGCTTAGTTCCAGTGAGAGTTATACCTGCCAGCGAGATCTGATGTCCTACAGGTTTCATGATTGCCCAAAACACTGCTACAAGCTGGGGACAGAGTGACCCTGTGAGGGGCGTTTCTCATTCTAATCATAGTACAGTTCCACAGGATCGGTTTGTGGGAATTGACTGAGACTACACCCTTGCACATATCTATGATAACTTCATAAAAAATATTAAATGGAAGGAAGAATACTTTTATTTCCTCGTGTGGTGGTTTGACTGAGAACCCGTCCTCCTCCTCTATAGGCTCATAAACTTGAATATTTACTTGGTCAGCAGAGAGTGGCACTATTTGAAAAGATTTAGAGGCGTGGCCTTGTTGGAGGAAGTGTGTCACTAAGGGAGGGGTTTGGATTAAAAAAACAAAACAAAAAAACAAAACAAAAACCTACTCCAATGCCAGCCCAGGGTCTTTTTCTTCCTGTTACTGTGGATCCAGATATAAAACTCTTAGATTCTTCTCTAGCAACTGACCGGATGCCGCCCTTGCTCCCCGCCATGACCATGGACTAAACCTCTGAAAGCGCAAGCAAGCTCCAGTTAAATGCTTCCTTTTATAAGAGTTACCACGGTCATGGTGTCTCATCGCAGCAATAGGACACTGGCTAAGACACCTCCCTTTCTTAAGGGGACATCTGGGGAATGATTTTGGTTATAGAGAATCATGAAGCTAGGAGCTAGGAGCTTAGAATACTCTCCAAACTTACATGTGAAAATCAAATCCACAGTGTGATAGCATTTGGAGGTGGATCTTTAGATGATGGCTTCCTGGAGAATAATCCTCTTGGATGAGATAGTGGCCCTGTAAAATTTTTTTGGCCATCTCCTCTGAGGTCACACTGTGAGAGACTTGTGTATGAACTAAGAGAGAATGCTTTCATCAGACAGACACTCTGTAACTACCTTGTGCTCAGATTTTGGAGGCTCCAAAACTAAGACAAATCCATTTTTGTGTTTATAAGCCCTACAGTTTATGGTGTTTTTGTTATAATGCCATAAGGAAAGAGACTCCATATTAACTGCAGTGTTGTGCCCTGTCTTAAGGATTTTGTTGCTGTGAAGAACACCATGACCATGGCACCTCTTATAAAAGAAAACAGTTAATTGGGACTGGCTTACAGTTTCAGAAGTTTACTCCATTATCATCATGTCGGGGAGCATGGCAGCATGCAGGCAAGACACAAGGCTGGAGAGAAGCTAAAAGTTCTACATTTGGATCCACAGGCAGCAGAAAGAGAACTGGCATGAACTTCTGAGACCTCAAAGTCTACCCCCGGCAGCAACACACTTCCTCCAGCAAGGCCATACCTATTCCAATAAGACCACACGTCCTAATAGTGCTGTTCGCTATGGGCCAAGCATTCAAACGTATGAGTCTATGGGAGCCATTCCTGTTCAAACCACCATGTGCCATCAACTCATTCACCCCAGTGTTAGGCTTCCTAGGCTGTGAGTTCCTGGCTAAACATGTCTCTTAAATTGGCTCAGCCTGTGAAGCAGAAGAGACTCCTAGCCTCACAGGACAGTGAGGTACAGCCTATTGGCTAGTAGCAGCTGTGGCTGGGTCCTGTCAACACACAGCAAGTAACAGAGTCAGAAATAACGATATTTACTCATGTAGGCCATAAAATTGGGATTCAGGCCGTTGGCATTTGAAACCCAAGAATGAAAACACACCCACTGTTTCTGTGCAGATTTCTACCATGGCCTTCTTATCTGCAGACAACATTGGCTGAATGACAGATCAGTAGAAGAGGAACAGTGAGGACGTCTTTTCCTCTCTGCTGATCTATTCTTTGATATATTATCGTCCTCCACCACCACCACAACCTTGCATTGGTAGGTTTATTCATCTTTGGGACAGATACTTTCTCCAGATTATTTAGGGGCCTAGAAAGTCTATGGATTGTATCAAGGTTAAATAACATAACCAGTTAAAGACATTTAAATCAAACAAGTACCTGCTTGCTGCTTTACCGTATGTGGAAACACTGAGAGGGGGAAGCCGCCATCAACATTAGATATTACAAATAATGGTTTTGAAACTTTATGGTACTATATATATATAGTATATATATATACTATATATATATATAGTATATATATATATATATACTATATATATATATAGTATATATATATATATATATATATACGTATTTTAGTGTGCTTGTGGGTACACATGCAGAGAGGAGAGAGAGAGAGAGAGAGAGAGAGAGAGAGAGAGAGAGAGAGAATGGGTATGTGCAAATGTGTGGTTTCAGATAAACAAAATCTGCCCTTCTGCAAGTGCACTTGGCCACTGAGTTATCTTCGAAGCTCCCATAATGCTTTATAATAAGGTGGAAAATGAAAATATTTCCTTATAATAACCTGATTCTGAAAATAAAACTTGACTCCTAGAGATCACCTGGCTAGTTTAACAGGAGAGTTTACATAATCAGATCTTCCAAGTTCAAAAGCGAAGACCTCTCTCTCTCTCTCCTCTCCTCTCTTCTCCCTCTGCCTCGTTATCTCTTCATTCTTCCCTTCCTCTCCTTCCTGTAATTATAGCACTTGGAAGGCTGAGGCAGGAGGATTGCCACGTGTTGGAGGCCAGCCTGGGCTTCAGAGTGAGACCCTGCATATACGCACACTTCCATTGCAGCTCGCATGACCTATGGGGGTACATTTAGCACCTCCTTGCCTGTGGATGAGAGAATTATTTGTAAATAGAGACACCACTCAAGCAGGTGTGATTGTAGTTCAAGCCTTGTTTATTTTCCCTTCCTGGAGTTGTGATTTGCAGTATATCAGGATTCTCTCAGTGGCTGACAACTTTACAGAGATGGACACCGTTGTGAAGAAAATGTAAAATATGTAAAAAGAAGAAAAAAATGCCATTAAAAAAACTTAGATAAGTGGATGGAAAGGAGGCACTTGAGAAATCTTCCCTGGTTCCTTTCAGCTACGAACCATGTTGGGGTTTGTATCGCCTTTAGTCATGCAGTTAGGACTTCCCATAGGATTTCTTTGGGGACTCAGGTAGCAGCACGAGGCCCCCTGGTGGCCAGAAATAATTTACTTGTTTGCTTTTCAATCACTTGGAAGGGTGGGAGGCACAGCTAAAGAACAGAAGAAGACTATTTTGTGACCCTAATGTACCTTTATCGTGGAGCTGGGTCGTGTGGGGTAACCTACCCTCGGGGAAGTTGAAAATCAAAACATTGACTTTCGAGACAGAAGAATAAACTGTCGTTTTGGATGAACCAGTCAGTTTTCATTCTTGAGCTTGTTTAACACCTCATATGAGTATATATCGCGTTCCTTCCTTGTGCAAGACAATGTGCTACCCAGCACACTGGATGCAGTGAACAGTTCACACTTCAAGATATGCCCTAGAAGGTTTGGGAGGGAAAAGTAAACATTTATAGCACCCACATGATCGAACATTGAAAGCTGCCATAAACAATAAGAACTATGGGCTGAGGAAAGTGCTGATTCCACATAGGAGAGGGGCTTCCAGGAGGAGGTGGCTGTGGAGCTCGGCTGCTGATGAGAAGCAGGATCTGGGTAGCCTGAGATGGAGACAAGGATGGGGAAGAATGGTGCTGTCGTTATAAGGGAGAGAAAAGTCTGGGAGGACACGGAGGCCGGAAAACCAGAGCCCAATGCAGGATGGTGGAGTCTCATCTGGGTGACTCATAGGGAGGGATATTGGATTGGGAGTGAAAGATGAGACATGTTCAGAGCAGCCAGAGAAGCTTGAACTTTCCCTGAGAAATCTCTTCATAAAGTGATGTTGACCCTTGACTGTCTTTGATTTAAAAACAAAAACAAAAAGCCATATCAAGACCCAGCAGTACTTGTTCTACAGTGAGCCCTGTGTATTCAGTGGCGACTGGTCGTTGAGGTGTGTCCAACTACAAAAGCAAGCAAGGTTAGGGAAGTAACCAGTGTCAGATGGCTCCTGGGAGACTTGATGAAGTCTCTCAGTAGAATCCTTTCCAAGGAGTATGACACACTAGGTACCCCCAGCCTCTGCAAATTTTAAGACTTCAGACTTAACTGTCTTCTCACTTTGGTTGAGTGCGGTTTAAACTACCTTAATGAGGAATGATTCTTGCTGACGTAATGGAAATGATATGGGCTAGCTCAGAAATGCATAAAAATTCAAAAACACTACTCTTATTTGTGTAGCATTATGACCAACGGAATATGCAACCTCACTAATGTATAATTAAACCAACAAAAAAAGCATAATGCACATTTAATAGAACATTTCTGACCCCAGGCACTGATTTCCAAATGACATTTAAAGAAACCCTTTAGAATATACTAAGTTTGACTGAGATTATTGTATCTGAGATGAAAATAACAATCTTCAAAGAGAAGAAGAAATAACATCTCCAGTTAAGAAACATAAGAATCAATGCTTTGCAAATGAGATGGGGGAGACTGACAATTTGGAATAAAGACAAACATTAATAAGTGCTAGAAAGGTGACACAGGGGTTAAGAACATGCCCTGTTCTTGCAGAGGACTCAGATTCTGTTCCTAGCACCGAAGCAAGGCAGCTTACAACCACCAGTAATTCCAGACCCAGGATTTCAGACACCCTCTACTGGATTCCAAGAGCACCTACACTCATGTGCACAAATCCCAACACAGACTCACAAGAATATACATAATTCAAACAAAATAAATCTGGAAAGAATTAGGACAGCAGAAACAACCATTTAAGAAGTTTCAGCAGCTATGAGCATTTATTATTTTGAGTAAAATGCACATTGAACTTTTGTATAAAAAATCACCAAAGGTGCTATATTGGATTATTTCAGTATTAATTTCATTGCCCCATGTCATTTGTGTTATCTTCTACTTTCCCGTTTTCTTCTGACATAGCATTACGATCACCTAGAATTGTCCATTGTTAAAATATAAAAAAATATTAGTCTATTCTTCAAAATAAAGTACCTCTAAGTGATGAGTTACTGAAAGTGAAAGCTTTTAAAAGGGAGGTCAGAGAATCAACTTATTGGGAAAAAAAAATATATATATATATGTAACTGAATTGTTTTAGGTACATAGAAATGCCAAGCCAATGTAGGCCTTTAGTGAAACAATTTTATAACGCTGCTTGCCAGAGTGTGGGCTATTTCTTCCATGGACCTGGTACACCAGGGCTCTCACTATTTGTCCATCATCACTTTCTAAGGTAAACCAAGTGTTATTTAATGCTGTCCATATCCCACGCCCCCCAAATGTTTAAGGTAAAAAGAAATCTGTTTCTTTTGCCTTAGAAATAGCCCTTAGGATTAAGTTTGTCATTAAAGAAGATATTATTCCCTACAAAGGGGGAACTGTCTTGACCCCTCATTTTCAGTTCTCTCTGTGTCCCATTTCCATGTTGGTACTTCTTTCCGAAGCTGAGCCCATTCCCTCCTGGGCTGGTTCTGTCTGAATGAACTCAACAAGTTATAGCAGAGCGTTAGGGTGAAATTTTCCCTTTGGTCTCACTCAGTCTTAAGCAAATAAGCTTCTCTGATTTACCACGAGAGCCGTCTGGCTCTCCCTTCTCTTGACTTTCTTGTTCTTTTGTCTGACCTTCCAGCACAAGGCGCTGGAGGCTAACAAAAAGAGTCCAGAGGACAGAAGGACCAGGCCGAGGATGGAGATGATGGAACCGTGAGAATTGAAGCTGTAAGCCACAGCGGTGACCACGATCCCGGTGATGAAGACTACCACAGCGAAGGGGATGATGCAGCGGTAGCAGGAGAGTTCGGCACCCCCTGTGGCGGCCATCAACTGAACCTCACTGACCAAGGGTACGGCGGTGACCACAACTTCACGCTGAGGGCTTTTCTCCATTATCACAGGTGTGGGAGACTCTGGTGATCCCAGGTTCTCTTTCGTGGGTTCTTCTGTCATTTTTTTTTTTCTGAGGATGTTTCCTATCTTGCTTCACCGGCTAGATTTGGAAAGCCTTTCCAGGGTGAAAGCTGTGAAGAAGAGAGCAGGAGACATCAGCTACTTCATCAGCACCAGCCCTGCAAATGGAAGCAGGGAGGTGGAGAGCCACCTCCTGTCTCCAGGACACCTGGCCTCGCTTATTTGCATTCTCTATTTGTGACATTCTTTTGCAGTGGGTGAAAGAGGGTGAAGCAGCTATGTGCACAAAAGGAGAGAGATAAAAAGGAGGAAGCTTTTTTTTTTTGCAGTATTTCCTATTCCCTGGTGGTCTGCAAATATCTTTTATAAGCCTTCTTCTTCGCCCATTGCCTTTATCTTCTCTAAGCACAGAGTAAGCCTGAATTCGAATTAAAAGAATGGCTCATTTAAGAGAATATGCTATAAACAGTTCCACAACTCATGGCAACTTGAACTCTGCCAATTTTGCCGGGCATGACACGCATTCTTTCCAAGCTATCACCCATTCACTGCTCATGAAATCAAAGTCACGACAAACAGCAAGTGCACAGGGGACGTGCTGCTCCATCCACTGGCAGCTCCTTCAACAGGGCGAACTGTAAAGCATGTGCTGGGGACCTTTCCAACCCCACCCTAGCCCAACTCTCACCCTCTCCTCCACCACTTCTCAACTCAACCCTGAGACATATGTGCAAGTCAGAAAAACAAACAAGCAAAAATCTAGTTGCTAACCACTTTAGGACTTATGATTAGATTGTGGCAATATTCCCTTACCCATACAAAAGGGGAAAATAAGAAAAAATAAATTTTTGACCACTTTATGGGATACGACTAGTTATTTTTCTTATTTTCTTTTTGAGTTCTTCAGACAAAAATTAGCTATTAATCGACTATTAGAGTAGCTAGCTGTCATTTTCAAATTTCCCATGTAAAATCAGCAAGGAATTTTGTTATTCTGTATTTTATAAGACGCTAACACAAATAAGTATAAATATTCACACACACACACACACACACACACACACACACACACACAATGTGGCCAATTCATTTTTTTTCTTCAACAACCTTCTGTATAAAACTTGCCCCTTCCTGGGTATTTTGAACGTGAAGGTTTTAGTACAAAACCCAAGATGAAAAGGCATCTGACTGAAACCCTAGTTTGAGAAACCAGGAAGAAGTTCTCATCTGAAGCGCAGACCTGTCGAGCCATGGACTTGAACCCTGGAGAGGCTGAGCAGTTGCAGGGGCTGCAGATTTGTGGGACACGGTATCATTTTGGTGACATTAATCCTTTGAATGTATTAAGCGTTAATTGAAAATAAACACAAGACTGAATCAAACTTTGCTCATTCCTCCCTGGGGGATTAAAATATTACTCATCAGGCAATGACAATGTTAGAGAGGTCTACCTGATGTAACTCGTATACAATGTTTAGTCACCAACAAATTAACCACTAACTGTACAATGATGCCCTAACCAGGCTGGGTCAGTGAAAGGATATTTGACATTTCATCTGGGAAAAAACAAACACACAAAAAACATTAAAATACAAGACTCCCTCCCCACAAGACTGAGACTTAAAATCAAAGATATGCCTCCAGATTAACAGCACATACCTCACAGAAAGGCAGTCCATTACCAGAGAAGCCACCTGGCTTGGGAGAGAAGGACCAGCGAGAGTATATCTTCTCTTCGTTGTTCAGCTTCTGAGAAAGAGCCTGTCACCCACTGGGCATTATGACAGATCAGGGATTGCCCCTGGGGGACAGAACAGACATAAAAATACTTAACTGTAGAGAAGGCTTCAAATCCTGGAGCTCTTGTTTCATGCCACCCCTGCTCCTAACTGACGCTGGTCTTCCCCTCCCCATCTCATTTTACTCCCTCCTCCTCTGGTCTGCCCCTCCCTGTCATTTTTTTTTCTTCCTTCTTTTCCTTGCCAGCAGATTCTGAGTTTTGGCTTGCCCCAACTCCGCTCAGTGACATGGTAATTCGGGATCATCACTTCAGAGTCCCCAGAGACAGGAGCAAGCGTCGACTTTTATTTCTCTCGCAGCGTTTACTACGCAGGCTGCTTTGAATTACTCATTTTTTCCCCAGCCAAACTCCAGATCTTCCTCTGGCTTGCCCATCAGGCATTTTCATAAGAGAATCCCAGAGTCAGCATTGCAGACCTAACTGAGGGACAGCACTGGGGGCGGGGGGGGACAGACGCTCCTCGGAGGCAGGAACAGCTGTGGAGTTGTCAAGGCGATGATCCCAGTCTCTAGACCAACAGAAACCCATGCTCCTAGCTCTCCCAGAGATGGCCACCGAAAGCTTAAACGCCCTTCCCGTGTTTGATGTTTCTTCGTTTACAGAAGAGGGTGGGACTTGCTGGTTTCTGGCTAACCTGTGAAAACCTGGCTATCTTGACTTCGGGAGGATAGCTTACTCCTTGTACGAGGGGATGAGTCATCAACACTGCTGCTATCGACAGAGCGAGCGCCTACGATGGGCGTGGCATGATACTAAGGATTGCCACACACCAGTATTAATTCTCACTCATTTGTGAATGAAGTTATGGGGGCTCACAGAGGTAAATAAATATGAAGTACGACAAAGTTCGCAAAGAAAGAACTTGCTTCAGGCCCCAGTCACATTCTCCCTCTAGACGAGGCAATTACTTCATCGTTGAACTATATTCCCAGTTCAGTCTCTGCCTTGATCTTTAAATCCCCCATCTCAGTTTTTTCAAAAGCTAGAGTCACAGACCTTCATCGCCAGGCACACTGTACCTAAGTCATGAATGGGTATGAGCTCGTCCACGAAGCTTGTAAATGTAGAGTCTGTGTAAGAAGGTGTGAGCTTGTCCACGAAGCTTGTAAATGTAGAGTCTGTGTAAGAAGGTCCAGAACAACCTGCTCACCTGTGCCAAGCCCGCTGTGCCTAGACCCATTTTAATCAGCGATATATCTTGACTATTCAAACACACGTACCTGGTACACCATTCTCTTAAATAACAAACTCAAATCTATGTCCCATCATCACCCCTGGCCTGCTACGCCTATGCTTTGTTACAGAGAAGCTACTTAAATGGTAAAGTATTTGAAAAGCATAAAGCCTGAGGTGAGAAAAGATGGGTGAACACACTGGGGCACTATGATAAGCCTGTCCCTATATTTCTAAAGGCTATCTACTCACGATTTCTTTAACCTGTGCAAGTCTTAATAAATCCTGGCACTGGGTTTATTTATTTAGTAACAGTGGACTAGCTTTGTTTTCCCAGCTGTGGGATGCTCAGCTCTCTTTAAGCCACTGGTTTGGATCCTCTCAGACACCACCTCCTCAACTCCTCACCCTTCTAGCCCAGCCTACAAACAAGGCCATGGAGAGATCAGGAGTCCTTTTTCCTCAGATGTAAGCCAGAGCTAGGGCTTCTCTGTTCCAAGAGATCACACTGAGAAGTCCCTGAGACCTGGCTGAGTCAGAGGCCTCCCTCCAGCATCCTGGGTACCAGGTGCCCGCTGGCTACTTGGAGAGTCAGGCTGCTGCATGCTCACAGCTATGAGCATGTATCACACGTGTAACCAATGGCATCACTAAGGGTTGAGATTGGGATTATTTGGAACCAGGGCATTTCAGGAGATGGTGGTCGCCTAGGGAGTGAGCGACATCAAAGAGAATGTCTTTCCACCTGAGAACGCTCATCTTAAGCCCTCCCTGATTCCTAGCACAGGGCATTTTCTGCAAATCAAACAAATCCACAATTGCAATTGCACGAAGGAAGCTCCACCTGACATCACCGTATCCTACCGAGGGATTGTTTTTTCCTTGTCTCCAAAGCCAAAAGTAAAGGAATGAAACTATAGAGGGGAGAGAGACATCCTTTCCCAGGATGAGCCCCTGGCCGTACTGGTAAAGAGAGAGCAAACAGAGCCTTGCCGCTAGGGTGGAAGGCCACAGGCTTGTTGCTACTTCTAATACTAAAGCTTCAGCCTTCAGGTGTGACGGCCCATGTCACTCTCCCAGCACAGCGTGAACACATCTGTCTAGGTATGAAGATGTCAGTCTCCAAAGTCAGGCGACTGCTGGTTTGCACGGGTAAATTTAAAGAACTAGAAAGCTTAGGAAATAACCAGAAATCGTGCCAGAAAAGATAGATACCAAGGCAACCCGGGACACAAGCAGCTTTTACCAACTTTCTCTCTCAAGAAGAAATTCAAAAAGAATTTCACGGAGACGCCTGCAAAGTGCCTTTGAATGCCCATTCTCACACCCACACAGTGAAAACCCTTGGGAATCATTCCAGCGACACCTGGCCCCACGTGCAAAATCTCATCACAATGCATCCAGCCTCCTTTCTGCAAGCCCTCTACCCTGCAGAAGGGAGAGGAAATCTCCCTGGTTCTTTTTAGAGCTCAGGGCTTGGGGAAGGCTCGAGTCTGGAAAACTTTTCTGAAGGCATCTCAATGCATGAATGGTAGCAATCCTCCCACAGCGAACCCCGGCAGGCAGGCGTTCTACAAGTCTTTCCCAGATCTTTCAAAGAGCAAGGAAACCCAGCCTTACCTTTCTCAGTCAGAATCGGACTGAGACAGCTGCCAGCGGCAGCCAACAGCAAGGGCCGACAGTGGGATGCAAATCACCGCGTTAGGGACCGTGCACAAAGTACTCAGCGGGACTTACAGACCGTTAAGGGACCGGAGACAATTTGGTGAGAGGAAATTCCTTACATGCTGTCGAATTTTACTCTTGTGTTTTTCTCGGTGCCCACACCATACATTGTAATTACAGGCGTGAGTCCATAATAATCCAATTATTTAAAAGGTTACTAAGAACCTCTCCCGAATTGTTCTCTTCATTTTAAATCTGTATGCAAGCATTCTTTTTTTTTTTTTAAAGTTTTACTCTAACCAAGATCCTATTTTTGATATCATTCTTTTGTAATGTGAAGCCGCAGAAAAGAACCCCTCTGCTGTTTTCTGTATTAGTGGTGGAGGGGGAAGGTGGGTGGAGGGACGGGCATGGGTGAAGGCAAGCTTTTGGAGAGCTCTGAGAAGGGAGAGTGAGATCCCCTGCAGGTCTCTGTCAGCAGGATAGTTAAGTGATAGGAAGAGTAATAGATAACACGAGATAATATTTTGGTGCCTGAGTGTCCTGTAGCCATGAAGCCAAGTAAGCGAGTTCACCAATGCCCCTCATTTGAGGATGCCCAGACGGCATGAAATTGATAACACTCTAGTCTGTCACATCTCAAAAGAACTGAGGCCACCAAAAGCATCACAAACAACAGTGTGGGGGATTTACCATGTCAGAGAGAATTCTCCCTTACTTCAAAACATCTCCTCTTCTTAGCAATAAGGCACAGTTGCTTAGGGGGAGGGAGGAGTCGCTGTAGAATGAAGCAAGAAGGATGGTGGACAGTAAGAGAAAGAGCTCACTGGCGCCTTTCCCATTTGAAGAAGCCAAAGGCTGGGCCATTTCCACTCTGCCCTTGAAGTCCTGGCATTCTCTTCTTTGAGAACACATGCGCTTTGCATTTGGGGAAGAGCTGCCTTCAAGTGTGTTTGATTACTCTCCCGCTTTCATTTTGCTCTTGCTTGGTGTGGCTGAGCTGGCCAGTTTCCAGCATTGCGGAAGATGCCTGCTCCTCAGGCTCCTCTCTGTTGAATCACCACATGAAGATCCCAGCCATCACCCAGCCCAGTTGAATTCAGTGAGATTTGGGAAGCTGGCCAGTTTTTCTCTTAGCTAATACTTTACTTTTTTTCCTTGAGGGTGTGTCTGCAGTTTTACTCTGGAATCAGGGGCATTTTGGAAAGTGATCTGTGCTTTGGTGTTCCTTTTGGAAAACATGTCTTGCTATATCATCCCTCCCAAACACACTCTAGGCAGTTTTCTTTAAGTAGAAAGATCTAAACGTAGTAAGAGGGAGGAGTGTGCCTTCAACACAAACATATTTTTTTTGCTATTTATTGGTCAATTTCTATGCAGTGGGATCTCCTAAAACCCATGTGTAGAGAGAAAGAACAGCTCTGACCTCTCAGATGTATGCCCCGGCCTCTGGTGGCTGGCACTGTGTCCAGGCTTTAACTCGAGAACCAGCTTCCTCATTCTGAGTGGACCTACCCAGGATACTTCATGAAGGGGAATGGAGCATGTGAACGCTCACAGGCATCTATTTCTCAGCGCACAGGCCACAGCTCAGGGATTGCTGTTTGTGTTCTCTTATAGAAGATTCTGATATTCGCCACTGCGCGGTGCTTTTGTGGATCCACTACTGGGGAAAGTTGCAGAACCAAGCTGGAAACTCCAGAAACCTCTGTCTCATACCCATCTATTGTCCATTGTTTTTGATTGTTTAGGATTCTATGAATAGTTTCTTGTCAGGGTTCAGTCTCGTTTTGGGGGGTGCATGGTGGCGTACTGTCACTATCTTTACTTTTAGGAAAGCACCCTAGAAATGGATACCCTGCGGCGTTACCATTAGTCCTCTGAAAATAAACTCAGTGGCTGAATGATGTATTTTGTCCCCTGTGATTCTGAGCATTGAGAGCTGTGCTATCAAGCAGATTTGGGTGTGTTCGAAGCCAAGAGTGACACAGGCTGGTACCAAGATGCTGTAGCAGTAGGGACTCTTCAGGGGTCTCCTAGATCATTCTTCTATCTTCGTGGGCATGTCAATTTCCCAACATCGATTGTACTGCCTTTGGGACTTGGTAAAGACTGTAGTTCAGCACATGCGGAAGCAGAGGGAAAAACCAAGGTCTGAGCTCAGATCCAAGCCTTCAATAGGAAAGACACAGCAACTCCAGGGCCGGCAATTGGCATAAGAGGGCACGGCAAGCTGGCGAACACACCCCAGAGAGAACCCATTAATTCTGGACTAGGTGTGTGAACTGTGGAGATGAATAGGGGCTGGAAGCTTCATGCCAGGTAAGCATTTGACACTATAAGGAATGAGGGAGAAAATGTAATTCTGAGTAGAGGGAGTAATTTATATGACATAAATAGAAAGTTTGAAAAGTCCAAATCTTCTGCAGAGGGTGGGGAGTAGCTTGTACAAGTCAGGCATGAAACCTTGAGAGCGGGACTGGAAATGGTTCATGGTCTTATTAGTTACCAAATGATGCATTCGAGGTTGATTTCGAAAGTGGAGCGGTTTTGAACAAGACACCATAATCAGCTCTGTGTTATAAGGAGTGACCTGCGCTAGAGTGTTGGAATAGTCTGAGGAAAGTCAAACAGGGAAGAGGAGAACAGCCTGAGAGAGTAGGCAAGGACTCATGACGTAGGACCCGGATACTGGAAAGTATGGACAAGGAGGAGTTATGAAAACAGCTAAGATCAGCAAAACTCGGCAGTGGGTTTTTATGTGGGACCAGCCATCGGGAGAAGATTTTAGAAGAGTTAAACACCGAATGATTAACGGTTTAATGAGACTATCAGCAGAAACGGGAGGGGACAAAGCACAGGTAGGGGATATGGCTTTGATTTTATTACTTCTATTATTTTCATGGATGTATTATTTCATTTAATACAAATGGTCCAAGAGGGCAGGAGCAAGAGCTACCCTGCCATGCAAACGAAGATGTGCAGGGCCTTGTGGGAAAATAGGACTGAAACCAGCACTCGTTTGCCCCAAGCTTGTCATCCTCACACTTTGGAATACTGCTCCCCTGTTCAGATGTTTTCTGTGGTTCGTGAAGCATTTCTGCTCTCTGTGAATAGATGCTTGGGCTTTGCGATGCTCACACTGCCAGTAAAAGCATACAGTCATCTTCCCACAGGGCCTCTGCAGGAGAGCACTGACAACCTGAGCGTCGAACCAGCTCACAAAGCCTTTTGAAAGCATTCTGATCCACTCGAGAAGTCTTTGATGTCCATGACGTGAGTGGGCAGTGGGAAACAGTTTGCCCAGCTGAACTGAATTCAAAATAGAACCGTTTATGGGCTTATCTTATGGAACAAAGCAGGGAGCTCTGATCATTGATTGGCTTCTTTCTTTAGATTAAAAAAAAAAAAAAAGTAAAGACAGCCATCCATTGTCTCTTTTTTGTTTACTTAAGTAAACTATACAGGAAAAGACATTATTGTCTTTGTAGGAGAAAAAAGTGTGGAACTTGGTAAAAAACCAGTGATCCCGCGAGAGTGCCTGACCCCAGAAGGAGAACAAGATGTTTCTTCTACCGTGACTCAGAGTGGGAAACCCAAGATGACTCCAAATTTTCTCTTACCCCCCAGTCAGTAACTCTGCCATCTATACCTTTGAAGGATGTCCAACTGGAGAGTCTCAGTATTCTCAGGGGCTGCTCTCTCCCCTGATTTAGTCCTGCGATTATTTTTTATTTTCTAAGATCACGTCAGTATGAAAAGCATTGTTTACAGCCCTGGTAGAACTGAATCCTTCCCCCAGCATCCCCCAGGGTCACAACAATAAAGGCCTGGATCACTTCCACAATGGAATTAGCATTTCTGACTCTCCACACTTGTTGTGCAATAAAAATAAACCATGAAGTGGCAATCAGGAGACTTGGATTTGAATCTCCTTTCCTCTTCACGGCAGCGATCAGGGGACCCAACTGCTGAGAGTTCCATGTGGGAGATCCTGAGTAAACCCTTTCCTGCTCTTTCTTTTCTGTTTTCTTTCTTTCTCTTTTAAGTATATGTGAGAGCCACTCTTCAGAGATGAGAGCAGACAACGCAGGGAGAAAGCTAATGCTGCCAACCAAGCCACCAGAGCAGATGTAGGAAACCTCAAAAAAAAAAAAAAAAAAAAAACTCCAGGGCAACATCTGTCTGCCAAGCCACTGACCTTGTATTGTGACTAGTCATCTATTTCCATGCAGGAGGCTGGTTCGGGAACTGACTGCAGTACAAGTGTTTTCTTCAGTTCTGTGAGAAATTTGAGGTTCGCAACTGCTTGCGCCCTGATTTCCAGTCATGCTGACCATAAGCTGATTCAATAAGGTGCGTGTGGACTGCCAAGCCACGTCAACAGGCTGCAAAAATCAATTCAGAATCAAGCTTCCAGGGACCAGAATGCACACTGACAGAGCCTCGCCCTGCTGTGAGTGACATGACGTCAGCCAGAGACCTCAGTTCACAGTTTTATGTGACAGGACATATGAGTAGCCAACTCCAGGGAGGAGGGGGTAGGAAAGCCCAAGGGTGAAGCTCTCTGGGAACAGGAAGCTGTCCTCCCTGGACCAACAAGACTTTTGGACAGAGGAGCTCCACAGGCTTTGTAGAAGCAACTGGGCTCCCGATGGGCTGCCAAGAGGGTGTGTTCTGGTCACAGGGAGTGTGCATTTCCTCACTGCTTTGCCCCTCCCCACCCACAGAATCCAGAAAAGAGACGCAGTGCTGTTTTGTGGCTCAGCTCAAAGCATTGGACCCCTTTAGAATATATAGCTATGGCTTATTGTGTTGCTGCATTAGGATACTTGGGGAGTGTGTGTGTGTGTGTGTGTGTGCGCGCGCGCATGTTTTGAAAAGCCATGACTCTGCATTCTTTATTCATATGAAGTTTTAGGTCTTTTGTTCCCATTAACATACCAAGTTAAACAGGCATGTGAACCTAACAACACCACTCCCTTGGCAAAAGCCCATTCATTCT